TATATATATATATATATATATATATATTTAACAATATATTATAAATATTTGTTTTGAGATATATAAACTGTATATTATTGTTCAATATCTTCATATGATGATCCATCGGTCTTATATGATGATTGAATAATGATGGAACGCATTTTAATTGACTACCATGCATATATATGTGCTTTGGTAATATCGATATTACATTGGTCAAGATATATATTCTATTTGCAAATTACTTTCCCTATTATCCGACATTTTTTTAATTAATTAAATATTTTGCTTCGAATCCATTAGTATCCGCACGGATGAGTATTTGGAACAATGAAACCGCTGTAGAGGACGCAATTGCGAGATATATCAACTGATGAGTAAATTTAATTACTTTGTAAATAAATTGTATAAATAGATCGAGATAAGATAAAATATGAGTTATTTTTCGATTAATAGTATAATAATATAATAGTATATACAGTCTGTCTAACAAGAGTAATAGACATGGTTTCCTAAGAGAGAGAGAGAGAAGATTCATCAGAGAAAATCATATTATTCAAATCACACAATCGATATTTTCTTTTGATCAAGTGTTTTTTTTTCTGTGTTTTTCGGACAGTAAAGGTTCCTTTATTGCGCTTCGCCACTTCAAGCTATGAGTATGTAGAAGTCTTCGAATGCTTTCACAGGATATATTTATCTTCTTTCTTTTCAATTTTACTTGTCCTTCACGCAACGATAGTCGACGATTTTGGTAAACATCTCAACGTTTTTCTCCGTCCGTCGTTTGTTTTCTTTTTACACCGCTATTCGACAAATCATCGACGGATTTTGTCTCTTAAAACCGCTTCATTTACTTATATATAAATGTTTTTGATCTGTTTGTTTGAAAATGATCCGTGCCACAGTATTCAGGAAAAAGTTTTGCCTGTCACACATTTGTTAGACTGTACTTCTTTGTAATCAACAATTTAACTTTTCATAGCTAAGAGTTCAATAATTAATTATTCAAAGTTCAATAATTAATTATTTAATAAATTATTTTTTTTATTATATCGTATTATTTTAATAAAATCGTATTATTTATATTAGTAATATTGGTAAATCATATTCTTCCTTCCATTCACCATTACATCTGCGGTCGTGCAATAAGACACAATTATTACATTTATAAATATATACAATTTTTGTTGAAGGAAGGCGATAAAATATTGTCCAGGCATTTTTCTAATTCTTCGTACCTTTGCTCGTCCGAAATGTGGCGCCTTTCGACTCGTGGGTGTAACCGGCTTTGGTGCGCCGCCAGCAGGTAGCGACGTCAGCGGGCATACCAGACGAGCTTATAGTCGCCTCACTCGACCGGATGCGTCAGTATGGCCTTAGCTGCCGGTACGTGCGCGTTGGTAGCACTGGGTAGTATCGCGCCGCGTTTTCGCTCGCGGGTGTGCGTGCTCCGTTTTCGTGAGATAGAAGGACGAGGGTTTTCGGTGAAGAGACGTACCGCCGAAGCTCCACCGGACCGTCGCCCAAATACGTGCGGCACGAGGAAGTAACGAGAACCGGTGCAACAGCGGCAGTCATGCGGCGAAATGTCAAGATCGCGTTGCTCCTGTCATGCGCGTGGATGTTCGCCTGTGTTTACTACTACCACACGTCCCGGGATACCAAGGTAAGGCGTCATTCGTGTCAGCTGGTCCTAGTGTGCGATGAGATTTCGGAGCAACTTGCTGTGATGCATTAAGAGAGCGTCGTCATCGGTGTAATGTTTCACGACTGCACGCGACAAATAATCCTCGCACATTGCTCGAGACACGGTATGTCGGTCAGCTTGCGTTATTTGTTTACGATGTCGCAGCACGGAGCAAGATCTTGAATTACAGAGTGCGTGTTTACAACATGAGACAGAAAAATGGCGATATCTCGCGGTTTTCTTTAACGCGAACTCTTCGAACGCATTGAAGTTAGCCACTGCTCCGATACTTGCTTAGCGCGCACTTCAAATTTTTCGTTTCGGCGCGAAAGTATGCTATCCTGCCATTCGAATGCTTTTTTTCTAGCAATTCTTCCAATAATTATACGTGCATTTTAACGCGACAGACGTGGAAGATTATTTATGCTTTTTAATTTTAAATATATTTTCATAGAATCGGTTACGGAGGGAAAGAAAGAATGTGCACATCGAGACGAAAATTTGTGTAACGTATATACACTACTAATTATATATATATATATATAAATATATATACACACATACATACATACATACACATTTTCGCTGAATTTCCTACTGCGGTTTACATGCAAGTTTTAAAAACGTTTCGTATTTACGCCTCAGGAATCTCTCTCTATTTTCAGATATTTTTAATACGTGTTTAAATGTACCATGTACTGAGCGAGCACAGTTGCATAAACTTGTTGCAGCCTGTCAGTTCTCATTAAAATGTTTCCGTAAACCGAAATGATTTCTTGCATTACTAAAAAGT